TATATGTTAACGACATGTTTACAGGAGTAGAGTCCTACATGTCGATGTTCGCGGATGATGCAAAGTTGATGAGGAGATTTGTAACAGATGAGGATTGCAAGATCCTCATAGAGGACCTGAACAGGTTGCAGAGATGGTCAGACAAATGGCAACTGGAGTTCAACATAAGCAAATGTAAAGTTATGGAAATGGGACTAGGTGATAGGAGAGCAAAAGGTCAGTACACAATGAAGGGGAACTGCCTACCCGTGACGACGCGCGAAAGAGACCTGGGTGTGGACGTAACGCCTTATCTATCTCCTGAGGCACATATAAATAGGATAACGACAGCAGCGTACTCTACACTGGCAAAAGTTAGAAAATCATTCAGAAACCTAAGTGAGGAGGCATTTAGGGCGCTTTACACTGCCTACGTGAGGCCAGTCTTAGAGTATGCCGCCTCATCATGGAGTCCCCATCTGAAGAAGCATATAATGAAACTGGAAAAGGTTCAGAGGTTTGCAACGAGACTCGATGAGTTATGAGGAGCGCCTGAAGGAACTGTGCCTTACGACACTAGAAAAAAGAAGGGAGAGGGGGGACATGATAGGAACGTACAAAATATTCAGGGGATTGACAGAGTGGAAATAGATGAAATGTTCACATGGAATAGTAACAGAACGAGGGGACATGGTGAAAGCTTGAAACTCAGATGAGTCACAGAGATGTTAGGAAGTTTTCTTTTAGCGTGAGAGTAGTGGGAAAATGGAATGCATTTCAGGAACAGGTTGTGGAAGCAAATACTATTCATAATTTTAAAACCAGGTATGATAGGGAAATGGGACAGGAGTAATTGCTGTAAACATCTGATGGTCGAAAGGCGGGATCCAAGAGTCAATGCTCGATCCTGCAGACACAACTAGGTGAGTACACACACACACAGAGGGGTGTCGCGGCTGAGTGGTCAGCGCTAGGAGGGTCGTAGTCCTAAGGGCCCGGGTTCGATTCCCGACCGAAGCAGAAACAAATGGACAGTTTCTTTCACCCTGATGCTCTGTTCATCTAGCAGTAAGTAGGTACCTGCGAGTTAGACAGCTGCTCCGGGCAGCTTCCTGGGAAGTGTGTGTGTGTGTGTTAGAGAAAAATATGTAGTAGATATAATATAGGGAAAAATAGATTGGTTAGAAAGGCGGGATCCAAGAGCTAATAGCTCGATTCTGCAGGACACAAATAGTAAAATACACACACGTTATATAATATAAAGTTCATTGAGGCATGAACAAGTGGAGAAACTTGTTGAATAGGAGCGGAGGGCGGCCCACTACTGCCCGAGGCGGTGCACACAGTGTAGAACACTGACTGCCCTTCCCTGTAAGGCTGTGAGCAAGAGCAGCTGGGTGATAGAGAGAGGGAGTTATGGAGGACACTAAACATAGCTTCACGACCTCATGTGAGGTAAGAACCAACACGACCAGGAAACCCTTGTAGTGTGTCACTGACTCCTCGTAGGGGCCTCGTAGCCTGGTGGATAGCACGCAGGACTCGTAATTCTGTGGCGCGGGTTCGATTCCCGCACGAGGCAGAAACAAATGGGCAAAGTTTCTTTCACCCTGAATGCCCCTGTTACCTAGCAGTAAATAGGTACCTGGGAGTTAGTCAGCTGTCACGGGCTGCTTCCTGGGGGTGGAGGCCTGGTCGAGGACCGGGCCGCGGGGACACTAAAGCCCCGAAATCATCTCAAGATAACGTCAAGATAACCTCCTGGGACCCCGAGATTCACCCTTGACCACGCCTCTACACCTGTCTTTAATGGTGGCGTATTTCTTTACCTTTATTAAGCAGCTTACGACCTACAAAACTTCTCAACCCAAGGTTATTATTGTTATATACAACCTCCTGGTGCTTCACAGTTCATAAACTGTTTAATAAATGTAAGTTAAGCCTGATTATTGTCCCCGTGATTAGGTAAAGATGCAGAGGTTTCGTTAGTGGACGTGGAAATGTTTGGGGAACCCTACCCCAGGATATGAGACTCAACAAGGTAGCATATATGAGTAAGTGTTCCTACATACACCTTAGCTACTAGCACTACCACCATACCCGCCCAAACCACTACCACCATACTCGCCCAAACCACTACCACCACCACCATACCAGCCCCCACCACCACCATACCACTAACCACCATCATACCATACCAACCCCCCACCACCACCATACCAGCCCCCACCACCACCACCACACCATACCCCCCCCCCACCACCACCACCATCCCCCCTCCCCCTCCCTCCCTCACATCCCCAGGAAAGCATCAGAGAAAACCCCAGGATCGATGAGAAGGTTATACTTTAAAGAGCGCAGTAAAGGTGTAGGGATCAGGGGAGTAGGCGGCTCCGGTGACCCAGACGCCGCCGGCCGCGTCTCCGGCAGGGACGTCCTCCTCCAGCAGCGCCCCCTGCAGCAGCACGCTCTCAACCCCAGCCACCTGTGGGACAAACACGCCAACGTTAACCACACTACTACACCTCACACGTGTCATGACAAGGGTCGCTCTTATACTGACGACATAAGCACCACGTGTATAATATTATACATAAGATATTATAATATTACATAAGATATTATGTTCCTAACTCTGCTCTCCTCTCACTCTATTATGCACTAATCTATCACTATTTCAATTATGGTATCTGTGCATGGGGGTCTACCACTGCAAACCACCTTAAGTCCATCATCACCCAGCAAAAATCTGCTATCAGAATGATAACAAATTCTGCTTTCAGACAACACTCAGCTCCCCTGTTTAAATCTCGTAACTTGCTGAATAATAACTCCCTCCACACATTCTCTTGTGTCAACTACATTTACAAAACCCTGTTCTTAAATGCAAATCCTGCTCTGAAACTCTCCCTGGACAGATGTAATAGGACCCATTATCACCACACCAGAAATAAATATCTCTTTGATATCCCCAGGGGTCAAGCTTAATCTGTGTAAACACTCTATGCAAATTAAGGGACCCAGTCTATGGAACTCACTCCCTAGTGAATTGAAAAGCTGTCCAACTTTTGCCTCATTTAAAAACAAAAACAAAAAGTACCTAATTTCATCTTCATAGTTTCCTACACTGAGCTTTAAACTTGCTCTGTATCTAGTGTTACCCAATCTCCCAATCTTTATGTACTTAAGCCAAACAACTTCATCATTGTGTTCATTGCTGTTTTCTTTTATGTGCTTGCCATATGCTGTATTGTGCCAGCCAAGTTTTGTTAAACTACCATTCACGCTGTCATTGCCATCATACTGAGCTACCTTTGTGCTTTAATATACCTACAATTTTCTCTCATCTTTTATTTTTTCATGCTATGTAACTGTTATCATTTTTATAGCATAGTAATTACATAGTAAATACATTATAGCATAGTAATTACATAGTAAATACATTATAGCATAGTAATTACATTAAATTACGTTATTAATAAAGCCACTATATTATAATGTAAGCCATTATGTAAGGCTTTACAAGAATGTAATTAGTATGCTATGTATCCTCACAATCCCAATGTACCTTATTGTATATATATATAAATAAATAATAAATAAATAAATAAATAAATAAGCAGCAGCAGCCGCCGCAGCAGCAGCCGCCGCCGCAGCAGCAGACGCCGCAGCAGCAGCCGCCGCAGCAGCAGCCGCCGCAGCAGCCGCCGCCGCAGCAGCCGCCGCCGCAGCAGCAGACGCCGCAGCAGCAGCCGCAGCAGCAACAGCCGCAGCCGCAACAGCCGCAGCAGCAACAGCCAAAGTAATCACAGTATAAGTTGTCATCATTCACTCAATCTTCATTTCATATAACACATATATAATACAAACATTATACTTTCAGTTATCCTAACAATACAAGTGCATTATATATATATATATATATATATATATATATATATATATATATATATATATATATATATATATATATATATATATATATATATATATATATATATATATACGACATATATATATATATATATATATATATATATATATATATGTCGTACCTAGTAGCCAGAACGTCGTACTCGGCCTACTATGCAAGGCCCGATTTGCCTAATAAGCCAAGTTTTTCTGAATTAATATATTTTCTCTAATTTTTTTCTTATTAAATGATAAAGCTACCCATTTCATTATGTATGAGGTCAATTTTTTTTTATTGGAATTAAAATTAACGTAGATATATGACCGAACCTAACCAACCCTACCTAACCTAACCTAACCTATCTTTATAGGTTAGGTTAGGTTAGGTAGCCGAAAAAGTTAGGTTAGGTTAGGTTAGGTAGGTTAGGTAGTGGAAAAACAATTAATTCATGAAAACTTGGCTTATTAGGCAAATCGGGCCTTGCATAGTAAGCTGAGAAGTGCGTTCTGGCTACTAGGTACGACATATATATATATATATATATATATATATATATATATATATATATATATATATATATATATATATATATATATATATATATAGGAAACTCTTAACCCCTTAAGGATTCGAACCCGGTCAGCCAAGGCCCTCCGTGCCCCTTGGCGTGTCTAGAACCATAACCACTCGGACAACTGACTACACAAAAGTACTGGTAAGTCGTGTGTCTCTTAACCCAACAGCTCCCGTGACCACCTTGGGCATAGATACTTCATCAAATCGCTTCATCATGCGGCCCCAGAATGATGAATCTATTTATCCTGGGATCCGCCCAAAGCCACTTGGAGTCAGGAGGCACTAAGCTCGTAGCTATTCCAGCATTTTACAAATAACCCGCATATACTCTGGTGCAGGCAATGGAGTTCTCCACCTAATGCACTCTTCAAATACACAAGGAAAACACAATAACGCTGGTTTCTCTTGAATTCTGGCGACCCCGACTAGCCTATGTCAGTCCCGTACCCCATCCTAGTCCCGCTGCAAAGTTGGGTGAGGCTAGCTAGCCCCAGCGTCTGGCTTCCGACCTCGGACAAACATTTCTCTCTTACAGATATTGACAGATTAATGTAAGATAATGAAAAGGGTAATAATAAGATTTAGTGCCGGGTGGAAGAGTTGAGGCAGCACGGCCGTTGCTGCCGTTATTCACTAGTGAACGTGAGTCGGTGAGGCAACAAGCCGTACAAAAGCCGCCACGCACGCCTCCACCACCGACCAAACCTCACTGTCAACCTCCAACATAACCAACGCCACCTTTAACCACACACAACATGGCGATGGATGGGAAAATAATAATAATGACACAAACTGGCGCAGCAGTCATATGAACACAGCAGTGATGGGCGCAACACACACGTAAGGACTGGACTGGCAATCCTGTAGATTGCCAACACTCTACTGGCAATCCTGTTGCCAGTAGAGGCAACAGGATTACCTCTACTATGGAGCTCCCCCTTGTTGTTCAGAGCCCGAGTGAAGAATCTACCCTCTACCTCATCGCTATTACGTAAAACACACCTAACCTAACCTAACGTAATCCAACCTAACCCAGCTCAGCCCTGCCTAGCTTAACCTAACCTAACCTAACCTAACTTAACCTAACCTAATTCAACCTAACCCAGCCCAACCTAGCATAACCTAACCCAAAGAAAATAAGAGACCAAAAATGTTAAGCTTTATACATGTATATATGAGGTGACACATGCACTGATATATATTTTGCTAGCGAAAAATATTCTCCAAATATTACACTATAATATAACAGCAAGGATCAGGGGGGGGGGGTAGAAATAGCCTAAGCTACTCTATCCCTTTGAGATGTAATTCTTTCTTGTCTCAATAAACATACTTGAACTAGAGTCGTAGCGCCACAAGTGGGCCCAGGGGAGGGGGGGGGGCGGGAAGCGATAGGCTACATGCAAGGAATTAAGAACTAATATCTGAAAAGGAGTTGGAATTTCTAAGAACACATAATATTAAATGAGTAAAGGTAGGACTGGGTGAGTAAATATAGGACTGGGTGAGTAAATATAGGACTGGGTGGGTAAATATAGGACTGGGTGGGTAAATATAGGACTGGGTGGGTAAATATAGGACTGGGTGAGTAAATATAGGACTGGGTGAGTAAATATAGGACTGGGTGAGTAAATATTGGACTGGGTGAGTAAATATTGGACTGGGTGAGTAAATATAGGACTGGGTGAGTAAATATAGGACTGGGTGAGTAAATATAGGACTGGGTGAGTAAATATTGGACTGGATGAGTAAATATTGGACTGGGTGAGTAAATATAGGACTGGGTGAGTAAATATAGGACTGGGTGAGTAAATATAGGACTGGGTGAGTAAATATTGGACTGGGTGAGTAAATATAGGACTGGTTGAGAAAACTAAGTAGTGCGTATGAAAATACTTGAGAGAGAAAATGTAAGGATAAGAGAGAAAATGTAAGGATAAGAGAGAAAACGTAAGGATAAGAGAGAAAACGTAAGGATAAGAGAGAAAATGTAAGGATAAGAGAGAAAATGTAAGATTAAGAGAGAAGATGTAAGGATAAGACAGAAAATGTAAGGATAAGAGAGAAAACGTAAGGATAAGAGAGAAAACGTAAGGATAAGAGAGAAAACGTAGCGATAAGAGAGAAAACGTAGCAATAAGAGAGAAAACGTAAGGATAAGAAAGAAAACGTAGCGATAAGAGAGAAAACGTAGCGATAAGAGAGAGAAAAGTAGGAGAGGATCAGGTTGTTATTGTCTAGGCGGTGTAGTGGTAGTTGTGTGTGTGTGTGTGTGTGTGTGTGTGTGTGTGTGTGTGTGTGTGTGTGTGTGTGTGTGTGTGTGCGTGCATGTGTGTGTGTGTGCGTGCATGTGTGTGTGTGTGCGTGCATGTGTGTGTGTGTGCGTGCATGTGTGTGTGTGTGCGTGCATGTGTGTGTGTGTGCGTGCATGTGTGTGTGTGCGTGCATGTATGTGTGTGCGTGCATGTATGTGTGCGTGTGTGTGTGTGTGTGTGTGTGTGTACTCACCTAGTTGTACTCACCTAGTTGTGTTTGCGGGGGTTGAGCTCTGGCTCTTTGGTCCCGCCTCTCAACCGTCAATCAACAGGTGTACAGATTCCTGAGCCTATCGGGCTCTGTCATATCTACACTTGAAACTGTGTATGGAGTCAGCCTCCACCACATCACCCCCTAATGCATTCCATTTGTCAACCACTCTGACACTAAAAAAGTTCTTTCTAATATCTCTGTGGCTCATTTGGGCACTCAGTTTCCACCTGTGTCCCCTTGTGCGTGTTCCCCTTGTGTTAAATAGACTGTCTTTATCTACCCTATCAATTCCCTTCAGAATCTTGAATGTGGTGATCATGTCCCCCCTAACTCTTCTGTCTTCCAGCGAAGTGAGGTTTAATTCCCGTAGTCTCTCCTCGTAGCTCATACCTCTCAGCTCGGGTACTAGTCTGGTGGCAAACCTTTGAACCTTTTCCAGTTTAGTCTTATCCTTGACTAGATATGGACTCCATGCTGGGGCTGCATACTCCAGGATTGGCCTGACATATGTGGTATACAAAGTTCTGAATGATTCTTTACACAAGTTTCTGAATGCCGTTCGTATGTTGGCCAGCCTGGCATATGCCGCTGATGTTATCCGCTTGATATGTGCTGCAGGAGACAGGTCTGGCGTGATATCAACCCCCAAGTCTTTTTCCTTCTCTGACTCCTGAAGAATTTCCTCTCCCAGATGATACCTTGTATCTGGCCTCCTGTGTGTGTGTGTGTGTGTGTGTGTGTGTGTGTGTGTGTGTGTGTGTGTGTGTGTGTGTGTGTGTGTGTGTGTGTGTGTGTGTGTGTGTGTGTGTGTGTGCGTGCGTGCGTGCGTGTGTGTGTGTGTGTGTGTGCGTGCGGGTACTCACGTGGACGGCGCTGAGGTAGCGGGCGTGTGAGTGGCTCAGCGCCAGCGTGAGGGTCTCCGTCATCAGCTGCACGGAGCCCCACGTCACCACCACCACCTGCAACCACCACACTACACAGTCACTGTATACCTCTACCTCTCTCACCACACACACTATATGATCACCATCACTTGTCTACAACACTGTATTCGGGTCCGTCTAATTACCACAAGCTACCACAAACTACACAAACTTCAGAAAGCTTCCTGGCAATACGTTAGTAATGAATAAATATGATATATTAAGTTAGGCTGACCTAACCTAACCTAACCTAACCTATCCTAACCTATCCTAACCTAACCTAACTTAATCAAACCTAACCTAACCTAACCGAAGCTTGGATCGTCGACTTGATTTGGCGTCACCAGCTTTTTATTTTCGTCTAATTTCTTTATAAAAAGATACTTTTTCAGATTAAAATTATGTTTTTTCGTGTTGTACATTCAGCACCAACATTATAATGAGTAAATATATCATATTTATTCATTACTAACGTATTGCCAGGAAGCTTTCTGAAGTTTGTGTAGTTTGTGGTAGCTTGTGGTAATTAGACGGACCGCTATGTTCACCATCATCTCTCAACACCATCATCTCTCAACAACTACCAGGGATATCCCAGTGATTACCACCACCAGGGATATCCCAGTGATCCAGGGATATCCCAGTGATTACCACCACTAGGGATATCCCAGTGATTACCACTACCAGGGATATCCCAGTGATTACCACTACCAGGAATATCCCAGTTAGCAGGTCTTTTCAAATTTGTTCTCTGAGTTCCTTTTCCTGTAGTAATACTCAGGAATATCCTCATCTCACCATAGTTCCCCTTCGGTATGTCAGTCAGCCCTTTACTGTGTGGTCCCGTGCTTGGGTAAGTTGTTCCTGCTTCCACCAGATATTCAGATGTCAGTACACTGTGATCACTCACCTGAAGAGGGTGAGTGGAGGCGGGAGCGAAGGCGGCAGCGTCGGCCACTACAGCATCCAGAGCCTCGCTCACAATGGTGTTCATCTCTGTTCCTCTGTGAAAAATAAAAAAGATCGTGTGTGAGTGAGAGAGAGGGGCCACAGAAAAGACAGTCCTGCCTCTAAATCTGGTATTGTTGCCACCCGGTATTCACGACAGTGTAAGGCAAGGGCTCACCTTCTCCCACATCATTTGAATTCGAAACAGCCTCCACTGAAGGCATTGTTTTAAAATCGTCATTGGCGGTTCCTTCAGAAGATGTCAAGATATACCTCACTACTTTAAATCGTTTGAAATAGGAAAGGCACAGGGGCCAGATACGGTCAGCTGGGGTCACCACCTTATATCAGGCACAGGGGCCAGATAAGGTCAGTCTGTGACACAGTTGTGCAGGTCAGCTGGGGTCACCATCTTATATCAGGCACAGGGGCCAGATAAGGTCAGTCTGTGACACAGTTGTACAGGCCAGCTGGGGTCACCTTATATCAGGCACAGGGGCCAGATAAGGCCAGACTGTGACACAGTTGTGCAGGCCAGCTGGGGTCACCTTATATCAGACACAGGTGCCAGATAAGGTCAGTCTGTGACACAGTTGTGCAGGCCAGCTGGGGTCACCTTATATCAGACACAGGGGCCAGATAAGGGCAGACTGTGACACAGTTGTGCAGGCCAGCTGGGGTCACCACCTTATATCAGGCACAGGGGCCAGATAAGGCCAGTCTGTGACACAGTTGTGCAGGCCAGCTGGGGTCACCTCCTTATATCAGGCACAGGGGCCAGATAAGGCCAGACTGTGACACAGTTGTGCAGGCCAGCTGGGGTCACCTCCTTATATCAGGCACAGGGGCCAGATAAGGCCAGACTGTGACACAGTTGTGCAGGCCAGCTGGGGTCACCTTATATCAGACACAGGGGCCAGATAAGGGCAGACTGTGACACAGTTGTGCAGGCCAGCTGGGGTCACCTCTCACTCGTCGCCAGGGACACGACCCTCCCTGTGGAGGAAGGCAGATGTCCTCCAACCCTCAGCCAGCTACGGACCTGTTACACCGCTGCCAGTCACTGCACTATACTGTCGAGACAGTATATATAATACTCGCTGTTTTCAACAGAGAGTTAGGCAAGGATATGCAAGGAGAAACTTCATGACCAACTCACGTGAGGAAATTAATAAAAGAGCTAGAAAAGTAGAAAGAGAAAATTAAAGAGACAAATGCGCAAGTTGTAAAAGAGAAAGAGGCGAGCAAGGAAGTGAGTTTGGAAGTCAAAACCAGACATAACCAACAAGAACACACACACACACACACACACACACACACACACACACACACACACACACACACACACACACACACACACGCAGAGTTTGGCAAATTCTGTTTTGCAAACAGAGTGGTAGACGGTGGGAACAAGTTAGGTGAAAAGGTGGTGGAGGCCAAGACCGTCAGTAGTTTCAAAGCGTTATATGACAAAGAGTGCTGGGAAGACGGGACACTATGAGCGTAGCTCTCATCTTGTAACTACACTTAAGTAATTAAACACACACACACACACACACACACTTGAGAGGTGGGACCCAAAAGCTGAAGCTCAGCCCCCGCAAGTACAACTAGATGAACACCCCCCCCCCCACACACACACATCCCTGCAGAATACCGGCGACAACAGCTGTCTAACTCCCAGGTTCCAAGGTACCATTACTGATAGGTGAAGAGCGGCAATAAGCGAAAGGGAACGCTGCGCAATCGCTCCCGTGCGTGTGTGTGTGTGTGTGTGGGGGGGGGGGATGGGGGGGGTGGGGGTGATGGGAAGGTCGTACCGTCCCAGCCTATTCCCACGAACCTAATTATGGATCTGATATGTCCATTTGTGACGGGCGGACGGTGGTGATCTAAGGAGAACTTAGTAGGGGTAAGACTTAAGATCAACTGTGGGAAGAGAATATTCTAAATGTCTAAGCCTGCTAACAGGAGTCAGAAGTCCTTTACTCTTGTGTCCATCTGTGGGAAAGAGAATGAGTGTAGGTGAGTGAGTTCTGGTGAGTGAGCGTATGTGAGTGAGGTGTGAGCGAGGGTGAGTGAATATGAGGAGGTAGGTAGGGGACGGAAACAGTAGATAATCCTTATAGATTAGAATCACAGCTGTTACAAACAAGTGGCCCAAGAAGCGTTTCAACCACAGGGAAGGATATATATATATATATATATATATATATATATATATATATATATATATATATATATATATATATATATATATATATATATATATATATATATATATATATATATATATATATATATATATGTATACATTAGGGGTTAGCGTCACCAAGTAAGGGCTTGCTTGACAAATGTCACTTGGAAGCCATATTGGAACTCGCAGCCCACCGCTAAAAGCCTCTTATTAAAAAAAAAAAAGACATGTAGCCTCTTATTATGTATGCAAGAATTTTAGTCTCCTTAAATAAAGTTGTTTTCAATCAGATGAATGATAGTTCTGTGCCTGTAAGTTATAATATGTTATAAAATTACAGAGAAACGAAATTATGTACACACACACACACAACAGAAGACACACACACACACACAACAGAAGACACACACACACACACAACAGAAGACACACACACACACACACACAACAGAAGACACACACACACACACAACAGAAGACACACACCTCGGGGGCCTCGTAGCCTGGTGGATAGCGCGCAGGCTCGTAATTCTGTGGCGCGGGTTCGATTCCCGCACGAGGCAGAAACAAATGGGCAAAGTTTCTTTCACCTTAAGTGCCCCTGTTACCTAGCAGTAAATAGGTACCTGGGAGTTAGTCAGCTGTCACGGGTGTGTGTGTGTGTGTGTGGTGTGGAAAAAAAAAATAGTAGTTAGTAAACAGTTGAGTGACAGTTGAGAGGCGGGCCGAAAGAGCAAAGCTCAACCCCCGCAAAAACACAACTAGTAAACACAACTAGTAAACACACACACACACACACACGTGCGCGCTGAACATATATCATTACAAGCATGATTGGTTAATTGATGGGCTCTTGGCCTTGAGCCAGGCACCACAACCTTGAGCCACACACTATTATAAGTCGTGACGATAACAAACACTAGGGGAGGGAGACATTACATTAACCGACCACCAGTATAACTAGTGCTCCACCCTCCACTAGTAGGAGTGCTGTGAGGGCTCTCGGGGCTGTGAGGGCTGTGAGGGTTCCCGGGGCTGTGAGGGCTCTCGGGGTTGTGAGGGCTCTCGGGGCTGTGAGGGCTCTCAAGACTGTGAGGGCTCGCGGCGCTGTGAGGGCTCTCGGGGCTGTGAGGGTTCCCGGGGCTGTGAGGGCTCTCGGGGCTGTGAGGGCTCGCGGGGCTGTGAGGGCTCTCGGGGCTGTGAGGGCTCTCGGGGTTGTGAGGGCTCTCGGGGCTGTGAGGGCTCTCGGGGCTGTGAGGGCTCTCGGGGCTGTGAGGGCTCTCGGGGCTGTGAGGGCTCTCGGGGCTGTGAGGGCTGTGAGGGTTCCCGGGGCTGTGAGGGCTCTCGGGGTTGTGAGGGCTCTCGGGGCTGTGAGGGCTCTCGGGGCTGTGAGGGCTCTCAAGACTGTGAGGGCTCCCGGGGCTGCGAGGGCTCTCGGGGCTGCGAGGACTCCCAGGGTTGTGAGGGCTCTCGGGGCTGTGAGGGCTCCCGGGGCTGTGAGGGCTCCCGGGGCTGTGAGCGCCGTTTTCATGGGGCGGAGAACGCCGCGCTGGTCAGGGGGTGGAAAGCACAACTGGCCGCTCTCCGTAGGGTCCGTTCTCCTGAACGTTCCGAACCTCAACACACTCCGGTACTAAAGTGCCTTAACCCTCCAGAGACCACAAACAGAACACTGGACATTATGCCAATATAGTGCGCCGCTATCACTTTGTTGCTCATCAGTTTTTGGCCTTAAGTAGAGTATGCGTCAAAATATGACGTGTTGTCAAGAGGTCAGGTTGGTGGAGAACACCACTTACCGCTCTCCGGGGGTGGAGAACACCACTTACCTCTCTACGGGGGTGGAGAACACCACTTACCGCTCTCCGGGGGTGGAGAACACCACTTACCTCTCTACGGGGGTGGAGAACACCACTTACCTCTCTACGGGGGTGGAGACCACCACTTACCGCTCTCCGGGGACGGAGAACACCACTTACCGCTCTCCGGGGACGGAGAACACCACTTACCGCTCTCCGGGGACGGAGAACACCACTTACCGCTCTCCGGGGACGGAGACCACCACTTACCGCTCTCCGGGGACGGAGACCACCACTTACCGCTCTATGGGGACAGAGACCACCACTTACCGCTCTCCGGGGGACGGAGACCACCACTTACCGCTCTCCGGGGGACGGAGACCACCACTTACCGCTCTCCGGGGGACGGAGACCACCACTTACCGCTCTCCGGGGGACGGAGACCACCACTTACCGCTCTCCGGGGGACGGAGACCACCACTTACCGCTCTCCGGGTGTGAGACCGTCAAACATACGGCTCAGGGACGACACGAGCCCCGGCAGGTTGTTCCGGACAGGCATCAGTCGCAGCAGGCGGGAGAAGGGTGGTCCCAGTGAGCCCACGCCCACGCCAGGCAGCCGGGTCCCTCCTACAACGCTGCCCGCCAGCACCACCGTGCACTCCAAAGCCTGTTGGAGTGCACTACAATATTTAGAAAGTGTGCACACGCATACAATAAACCCCCCCTTCCCCTCCCCCTCCGCCTCCCCCATACACACACAGTTTTAATAGCAAGATAACACTCAGCCCCCTTGTTTAACTCCCTAAACATGCTAAACATAATCTCACTCCACACATTCTCTTGTGTCAACTACATTTACAAAACCCTGTTCTTAAATGCAAATCCTGCTCTGAAACTCTCCCTGGACAGATGTAATAGGACCCATTATCACCACACCAGAAATAAATATCTCTTTGATATCCCCAGAGTCAAACTTAATCTGTGTAAACACTCTATGCAAATAAAGGGACCCACTCTATGGAACTCACTCCCTAGTGAATTGAAAAGCTGTCCAATTTTTGCGTCATTCAAAAACAAAACTAAAAAGTATCTAATTTCATCTTCACCATCTGGTCACCACTTGGTCCGGGAGACATCTGTCAGGCAGGGTGCAGTCGCGCCTCCACAGATCTCCAGTATCAGCTCTTGATACTGGTAATGGCTCAAAAGGGCCACCACTTACGGGCTATTCATGCCCGTGCCACCTCTTGGGTGGCTTAATCTTCATCAATCAATCAATCAATAATTTCATCTTCATAGTTTTCTACCTTGTTGCTTTAAAACTGCCCTGTATCTAGTGCTACCCAATCTCCCAATCTTTATGTATCTAATCCAAACAACTTTACCATTGTGATCATTGCTGTCTTCTTATATGTGCTATCAATTTAATGAATGGTGCCTATTAATCTTTATTTAAATTACCAATCAAGCTGTCAATGCAATCAATCAGAGCTTTAATATACCAATGTGCTTTAATATACCTACTAATCTCTCTTATCTCATTTTTTTTGCAATGTATCTGTTATCATTTTATTAATTCTGCTAGAATTTATTTACTTAAAATTATCTGTTAGATTAAGGACCTGCCCGAAACGCTGCGCGTACTAGTGGCTTTACAAGATTGTAAATACTATGCTATGTATTCTCACAAACCCAATGTACCTTCTTGTATATAAATAAATAAATAAATATATAAATATATAAATAAATAAATAAATAAATAAGTAAATAATAAATAAATAAATAAATAAATAAATAAATAAATAAATAAATAAATAAATAAATAAACAAATAAATAAACGAATAAATAAATATGACAAGGAACGTGTCGAGCCAGACTAGGCTAGATTCTTTGTAATTTAGTTCAAACTTAGATAAGTATACTTACCGACTCGTCACTTTCTGCTCAACATGTATCATATTTATAATATTATCCTTAAGTGTTTAAATACAAAATATTGCTAAAAATTATGAACCAAATAGCTTGACCTTACTTATCTAAACCTAACTTAGCTTATACTCAAAATTAGCCATGCTGGCTTGAGTACAGATTCTCGTCTCTTTGGTTTCAATGATTACTGAATACACGGTACATATTTTGTCTATCTTATTATCTTGTTGCTTATATCCATAATTACTAAGTAATAATGGCGTCATAATTTGACAAGAAAGTAGCTAGTGTGTTATCTTGGAAAGGTGACATCATGTTCCATGTTATCTTGGAATGGTGACATCATGTTCCATGTTATTTTGGAAAGGTGACATCATGTTCCATGTTATCTTGGAAAGGTGACATCATGTTCCATGTTATCTTGGTAGGTGGACCATACTGGAAAATGCACAGCTCCTTTCAAGGAATATTGTTGTCCCCTAACTCCCCTTGCCACTTCAGAGGGGTATAGGGTGTTTATGTAGCTTCAGGGCACCAAGCCCCCCAGCAACAGGGCATGGGCGAGAAGGCACTACTAAGCATGAGAACGTATCAAATTCTGCGCATTTACCTAACGCAGCATATATATGGATGATTCAGAACACCCGTGAACAACCCAGCGGATTTTCTTCCTGTTGGGGAGTGTTGTACATGCTGCGATGGCGGTGTGTCCACTCACAGGATGAGTGGCGCTGCCCAATACTGTCACTATGGCGGTGTGTCCACTCACAGGATGAGTGGCGCTGTCCAATACTGTCACTATGGCGGTGTGTCCACTCACAGGATGAGTGGCGCTGTCCAATACTGTCACTATGGCGGTGTGTCCACTCACAGGATGAGTGGCGCTGTCCAATACTGTCACTATGGCGGTGTGTCCACTCACAGGATGAGTGGCGCTGCCCAATACTGTCACTATGGCGGTGTGTCCACTCACAGGATGAGTGGCGCTGCCCAATACTGTCACTATGGCGGTGTGTCCACTCACAGGATGAGTGGCGCTGCCCAATACTGTCACTATGGCGGTGTGTCCACTCACAGGATGAGTGACGCTGCCCAATACTGTTACTATGGCGGTGTGTCCACTCACAGGATGAGTGGCGCTGCCCAATACTGTCACTATGGCGGTGTGTCCACTCACAGGATGAGTGACGCTGCCCAATACTGTCACTATGGCGGTGTGTCCACTCACAGGATGAGTGACGCTGCCCAATACTGTTACTATGGCGGTGTGTCCACTCACAGGATGAGTGGCGCTGCCCAATACTGTCACTATGGCGGTGTGTCCACTCACAGGATGAGTGGCGCTGCCCAATACTGTCACTATGGCGGTGTGTCCACTCACAGGATGAGTGGCGCTGTCCAATACTGTCACTATGGCGGTGTGTCCACTCACAGGATGAGTGACGCTGCCCAATACTGTTACTATGGCGGTGTGTCCACTCACAGGATGAGTGGCGCTGCCCAATACTGTTACTATGGCGGTGTGTCCACTCACAGGATGAGTGGCGCTGCCCAATACTGTCACTATGGCGGTGTGTCCACTCACAGGATGAGTGGCGCTGCCCAATACTGTCACTATGGCGGTGTGTCCACTCACAGGATGAGTGGCGCTGCCCAATACTGTCACTATGGCGGTGTGTCCACTCACAGGATGAGTGGCGCTGTCCAATACTGTCACTATGGCGGTGTGTCCACTCACAGGATGAGTGACGCTGCCCAATACTGTTACTATGGCGGTGTGTCCACTCACAGGATGAGTGACGCTGCCCAATACTGTCACTATGGCGGTGTGTCCACTCACAGGATGAGTGGCGCTGCCCAATACTGTCACTATGGCGGTGTGTCCACTCACAGGATGAGTGACGCTGCCCAATACTGTCACTATGGCGGTGTGTCCACTCACAGGATGAGTGGCGCTGCCCAATAAACTCGCCCCTCGGGGTAAAATTTAATGTAAACCAGTGTCGAGATACTTGGGTTTTTCCCTGCGTACAAATAAACCAGCCCACCATGGGTCTTTATTGAGATAGTACAGCACCAAATATTGTGTATCCGAATAGTATAGCACTAAAATGTCCTTGTATCCGATATTTACAATATTTAGATTAGAATAAAGGTTCAATGATCATATGATTCTTGAATTACGACTGACAAAGTGTTACACATCCCCCTGATATGGTCCCCTACCTTGTGTAGCCTTAAATTGCCAAAAGCTGAAGTTTGTGTTGGGGCCCCCAGTGGGGACCGTAGCCTGTGTTGGGCCCCCAGTGGGCACCGTAGCCTGTGTTGGGCCCCCAGTGGGCACCGTAGCCAGTGTTGGGCCCCCAGTGGGCACCGTAGCCAGTGTTGGGCCCCCAGTGAGCACCGTAGCCTGTGTTGGGCCCCCAGTGGGCTCCGTAGCCAGTGTTGGGCCCCCAGTGGGCACCGTAGCCTGTGTTGGGCCCCCAGTGGGCACCGTAGCCAGTGTTGGGCCCCCAGTGGGCACCGTAGCCAGTGTTGGGCCCCCAGTGGGCACCGTAGCCTGTGTTGGGCCCCCAGTGGGCACCGTAGCCTGTGTTGGGCCCCCAGTGGGCACCGTAGCCAGTGTTGGGCCCCCAGTGGGCACCGTAGCCAGTGTTGGGCCCCCAGTGGGCACCGTAGCCAGTGTTGGGCCCCCAGTAGGCACTGTATCATCCTGATCCCTCCAAGTGCTATATAGTCGTAATGGCTCGACCTTTCTCCCGATAGTTCCCTTCCCTTCTATGCCGTTATCACGTCTGTCCTGTTCCTTCTTTCCTCCAGAGTGGAGAGCTCCAATTCCCCCAGACTTTCTTTCTTCGTAGTTCAGTAGCTACGTAGCTTGTAATTACCTAAGTGTAATTACCTAAGTGTAGTTACAGGATGAGAGCTACGCTCGTGGTGTCCCGTCTCCCCAGCACTCTTTGTCATATAACGCTTTGAAATTACTGATGGTTTTGGCCTCCACCACCTTCTGAGGTGATGGAGGATCACCTTCTTGTAGCTGAGGAACGATGCTTGTCGTGGCTACTTTTCTTTGGCCACATAGCCAGTCACAGTTTTGCAATAATCCCTAAAAGACCGTCAGAGTGTGTTCAACAACACCTCCAGGCTGTACCAGGCTGTACCAGGCTGTACCACATTATATGTGCACATATCCAGTGGCGTAACCTAACTCCAGGCAAAAGAAATATATATAACTGGTGAAAACATTTGCAAATGACCTTAAACTTAGCGGGCCTTTAAACAATATTAATAAAAAGTAATTCCTATAATTATTGATAATGTATATAAGTCATTTACGGGCATGATTTTTGTATATAAATCTTTTTACATATCTTTTTGTTTTATAATATCACATAAAATCATTTATAACTCAAAAAGTATCACCTCTTGGATTGACAACCGGCAATATTTAACTCGTGATAAGAACAAGTTTCTCATTAATCACATTAGTTACCGCCAGAAATCACAGTAATAGTTATACACAAAGGACAAATAAAATGTGCCCACAGGTTATCTGGCCCGTGAATAACAATAATGCGCAAATTATACTCAATGGTTTAGTGTAACGCAGTCAGCCAAAATCCTCCGGTGAAGATCAATCAATACCAATGTAACGGTTGTATGGTGACAATAAACACATACGCTAAGATAATATATATATTTGGTCGAATATACAGAAGTACACAGGTGATACTTTGGTGTGAATGAGAGAATGAATTGTGGGGTTCAGTCCCTGAGCCCATTATGTGCCTCTCTAACCCTTTCCACTACCGCCCACAAGATGGGTATGGGGTGCATAATAAATGAACTAAACTAACTAACTGGTGTGAATTAAGCGCACTGAACGTCGGTACAGTATCTCGCAAGTGTCTGTTCTAGACCACACTTGAAAGTAGAATCCCCCCCCCCGCAGATATTAAGAGCTCCACAATACACTTGAATTCATGAAATACGCCGCAAGAGACCCCCCCCACCGACCTCCACACACGGTAACGACATTTAACCCGGTTCATAAACTTGGTCACATCAATACATATCTTTCGCCTTCAAACGACTCCCTGGAAGCCAATTCGCATCCTCAGACTTGCTCGTCTGTTGCTTGTAACGTTCCCGAGATATTCAACGTTCTTATGAAGAACTTATTTACAGTATCAGTTATTATCAAGAGCAAGCTCTAGGCCAAGATGCTGATGTTTTATATATATATATATATATATTTATATATGCTCATTACTCCTATATATTTACAAGAATTACTACACGACCATCTGTAAACTGTCCATTCTGTTATAACCATAACTAGACCCTAGCCTACGCTTTAAATAAATTATTACAATTTTTGTGTGATACTTTCAAATATGTTGAGTTCCTCGGTGAAACCCCAGAGGATACACAGTGTGTCTTTGATCTGCGGAAAGCTGGCTAAGACGATTATAATATCCTTCGAGGAATGTGTCTGCTTTAAACATACAACCTAATAAAGGAAGATACTTTTGTAGCAGTCAAGAACACAAACAACTCCCCCAACACCTGCCCGGTTACTCTACTGATTAAGTAGTCCCATACATGGCGCCTCTGGATACATAGATGCAGTTTACCTGGGTTCTTTAGACAAGATAATACTGTAAACACTAATTTGTGGTTGAGAGACATGACCATGACGTCCACCTCGAGTGGCGTGTCGAGCCTGTGATATCTAAAATCAATCACCCTCCTGGTGCAAGCTAAATATAGAAGGAAAGGTATGCGAGAAGAGAGTGGATAGCGTTCCACTGACGGACGGACGCTGTATCAACATTTAGTAAAAGTAGAGCAATGACTATGTCAGTGAGGTGGAATGACGGAGGTATTGACAAAAGGAAAACCGCATGACAAACATGCTGTGTGGAAGACATGGAAATGAAAGACGCACTCACAAGTATGGCTTCAGACTGCTCGAGTTTGTTGAGGAGAGCTAAATAAGGCAGGGAAATCAAAATTGAAAATACAAATTCATATGCATATTGTAAACGTGGATAAACGATATAATAGACAGGAGTAATTACCTATATAAAAACACTGTTTGTTAAAATAATTTTCGGCAATTAGGGTAGTAGCGAAGTGCATGAGGGAGAAACGGTTTTGAGTTATTGTTTGTAACAAAATTACCATCCACCCAGTTGGCACTGACTGCAATGAAAACACAGCTGGAAGATTTAAAACAAGTTGAAAAGAGTATCATGAGAGCACATAATAAGTGTCGTCCGATTCAAGTTTGTGCAGTGAGTGAACCAAATGCACAAACTTTTTTAGCTCACTAGCTTATATTTATTTTAACTGACATCTGTAGCCTAACTATTCCTTCCCTAATCAAACTTTGTCACTTTCTTGCAGAATGACACTTAATGAATATTCATGCCCCTTAAAATTGGTGCATTACTATTTTGAGATTCAAGTGACATATATACTGACTGAATGCAACGATCATAAATATTTCTTAAGTCTATATTCATAAGGAATATTGAGAGAGTAGGTAATGCTGCCAGCGTCGCACATAACATGCACACTCATCCCCATCAGCTGGTGGTTTATGGTAATGCACCAGGGTTAAACTGCCTCACTCATCCTTCCTCCCTAAGGATGGAGGCAAACGCACCCTACCAATCCTTCTAACTGCCTCCAACCCGCGCCTCTCATCATCCTCAACCTCCTCAGTGGATCGCCCACCAAGTTACGCATTCTCTGCCCAATTTCACTAGTCCACCATGTTGAAACAAAATAAAATTAACCAAAATTGAGGCAAAGATAAATCCAATAAACTCAAAAGGGTAAATACTGACAACAAAAATAGTTATCGATATTATATATATTTCCACAATGGTTAAAGCTTAGCTACACCAAGGCGAGAATGGCAATTGAAATTAATAACAAAAATAAAAGAAAATTTTGTTCTGCAAATTGAAGACTCTAAGAACCTGTGATGGTGAGAATGTATTGTAGTCGCCAGTCGTATAGCATTACACCTAAGTCCTTGGCCAGGAATGCTGTAATATATTCAGCGGAGGTGGAGCGTGAGCCTGAGCAAATTTCACCACAATCTGTACCACGCCTTAACTTTAAATTGTACATTAGTGTTGGGCTACGGTACCACGCACTAGTCTTACACTACGGTACTTCCTGCTAGTGTTACACTACGGTACTTCCTACTAGTGTTACACTACGGTACTTCCTACTAGTGTTACTACGGTACCTCACACTACTGTTTCACTATAACAATATAGGGACGAGGGGTTCCTCTTTTATGTGTGTGTGTATGTATGTATGTATGTATGTATGTATGTATGTATGTATGTATGTATGTATGTATGTATGTATGTATGTATGTATGTATGTATGTGTGTGTATATATATATATATATATATATATATATATATATATATATTGTGACGATAATCTCCTTCAAGAGATTGAGCCTGCTCTTCCCTCCACAATTACGTCGTTAAAATTATATAAAACTACTATGGAAGAAACGTCCAACAACGACAACAACACCAGCAAGGTTTGCCAGAGAGCAAAACGTATGCAGCCAGGGACACCTCAGACTCAAACCGCCAAACTACCTGTCTTACTACCGGCTCCGCTGATTGGTCGCCGGTCTGGCTGCAACTGCACTCGCCCCCCCCCATACTACTTGATGTCTGGGGTCGCCACGACCTCAGACCTCAGAATATTCTGTGCTTCCGCGGTTACCACTCCTCCCGGCTAGACGTTAGCGTATACTGAGAGAGGTGGTAGCTTAAAGCCAATATTCCAGCACCTTACCTTTATTTTTGTATTGCACTTCTTGTTATTTTGTCTTAACGTAACTTTTCATTGTGTCATTTAATTATTCTTATTATTTTGATTGATTTTATTATACGAATTTGTTTGTCCATTTTTTCATGTTTTGATTTATTTAACGTAATTAAAATTTCATTGTTAAAGTTTACTTGTGTTTTGTGTGTCTTCTCCTTACCTTACCACAGACGAAGTTCCAGTTTTTTCTATTTTTTTTATAACTATGTGACGAGGCCATACCCCTAGCCTTAAACAGCCGAACACCAACGCGTTACCGTCACATATATATATATATATATATATATATATATATATATATATATATATATATATATATATATATATATATATATATATATATATATATATATATATATATATATATATATATATATATATATTTTAACACCATAACAATGTAGCCTATCAATTAGTCTCGGTAAATGGCTGGACGCATGATAATGAGAATTTGATATTGAGAGGTGTTGTTACAAGGTGTGAGAGAACAGGGTGCGCGACGACAGGAACATTAACCTAACTCTCACTGTTCACCCTCCCTTCACACTTGTGACAGGAACATTAACCTAACTCTTTCACTGTTCACACAGGAACATTAACCTAACTCTCACTGTTCACCTTCCCGTCACTCCTGTGACAGGAACATTAACCTAACTCTCACTGTTCACCTTCCCTTCACACCTGTGACAGGAACATTAACCTAACTCTCTCACTGTTCACACAGGAACATTAACCTAACTCTCACTGTTCACCTTCCCTTCACACCTGTGACAGGGACATTAACCTAACTCTCACTGTTCACCTTCCCTTCAACACCTGTGACAGG